ATGACTTCATGTGTACAAATTCTTTTTTTATTATACAGGTACTTATATAGCAGTGTCAATTTATTTAGCGCTTCACATATATACATATTGTACATTTACATCAGTCCCTGACCTCAAGGAGCTTATGATCTAAGGTCCCTAACTCACATTCATACATACACATACTGGCCAATTTAGAAAGGAACCAATAACCCTACCGGTGTGTCTTTGGGGTATAGGTGGAAACTGGAGTACCCAGAGGAAACCCGCACACGGAGAACATTCAATCTCCAGGCAGGTAGTGCCCTAGTTGGGATTTAAACTGATGATCCTTGTGTTTTGCTAGGCAGAAGTGGTAAACACTTAGCCACTGTGCTGCCGAATTCTTAACATTGCATTTATTTTAGCGCACTGCATGATGGCAAAGGTACTCTGCATGTGTGAGTCTTAAAGTGATTCTAAAGGTTATTTTTTTGGGGGGGGATAACAAACATGTCTATACGTACCTACTGTGTGCAGTGGTTTTGCACAGAGCAGCCTAGATCCTCCTCTTCTCTGTTCCCCCACAGGCTCTCCTGGCCCCTCCCTCCTGCCGGGTGCCCCCACAGCAAGCAGCTTGCTATGGGGGGTACCCACTGCTCTGTGTGGCTAATTATTGACAGCAGCGGGAGCTAATGGTTCCCGCTTGCTTTCTCAGCCAATGGCTCCCGCTTGCTGTCTCAGCCAATGAGGAGTCAGAGACCCGGGAGAGCCGAGGCTGTCATTCACATCGCTGGATCGCGATGAGCCTCACGTAAGTACAGAGGGGGCTGGGGGCCCTGCTGCACACAGAAGGTTTTTTACCTTCATGCATAAAATGCATGAAGGTAAAAAAACCTTTAACCTTTACAACCACTTTAAGTTAACTTGACTTATACTATATATAAAAGAAAACTATCAAAGAAAAAACAAAATTTTCCTTTTCCGAAGATATCTTGCTGTGAGACCTGGTCTAGATTACAGACTAGAATATTCCAGATATTTCTGAGAATGGAAAAATTACAGAATGCGTTTGATGTTCCTTATAAAAGTAGCTATGCAAGGATTGTCTGGCTTCAATAATAGTTTCCTCATGACAAACAGGTCACTTATTAGCTTTAACAGGGAAAAAATACACACACACACCTACTAAACCATCTGATATATATTACCCTGAGTTATTAACCAATGTATGTAGGTGGCAATAAAAATAATCATCCCCCCTAGGATGAATATGCATAGGTGTCTTTTCCAGGGTCTGTGATCTTTTTTTTTTTTTTTCTAGGTGAATGAATTGTAGGAATGCAGCATCACTATGTATAGGATTATAGATTTAAAGAAAGGAAATTTCATCCTATTACACTACAGAATGATAGATGTGTTGAGATACTTTGCCTACTACGTTTCTGTGACTATATACTTTGAATTTATAGCCCATATGGTGTATTGTTATTTGTATCCCTAACCCTGATGACTCAGGCTTATTGCAGACATTCTTTCCATTTATCCCAGTTCCTGTCATTAACACAAATTGACAACATAATTACATGTCACTTTCACAGTGTGTGGTTGTTTTACTTTCTAAGACCATATATTCATGCAAGTTTTTCTCAGTCTGCTACAGGTTTTCTATTTTTACACTTTCAGTAAGTGATCAGATGAAACCCTTCTGAGAATTAAGGCTTGACTTCAGTTTAAATCACTTAAATTGGATCCTCATAGTTCATAGCACCTTGTATGACATAAATATGTGTATTATACATGTGATTAAATACAATTACTTTTTATACTTATACTTACATAGGAAGGAATTATTATAAACAGCTGAAATACATAATATACACAAGAGAGCTGTTTTACCTGCCAAAGGATTTGTATTTCCGTTCGTTCATTGACACGACTTGGCATTTCTGCCAGGGGGCTGACTTTTCGATGAAGTACAAATTCATTACTTACAGGTCTCCTTCTCACCCCCACTCTGTAATTGGGAAATGGAAGGAGAAACAGCAGACTGATAACCTAATCTTTCTGTCTCTCTGCTTTCTCCCTTTTTCAGCATGCTGCTTGCAATGTAGAACATCAGTTTGAAACCTTGTGCTGCCTATCCCTCTTCTGCTTGAGCTCTGAAAGTATTGCAAGAGTCTGATAGCAAGCCAAATTCATGAATGTACACTGCTTGCATTTAAAATGAATTTAATGATGTATTATCAGATACAGAGATGCAATGATTTCTGTTTTTTAATTCTGGGAGTCTAACTTGAAGCAAAAGTCAGACTCCCTTTAAGAAAAAAATATTGCTACCCACCGTAGTCACAATCTTGCTTTTTATACTCAGACCCAGCACTTGCAGACATGCACGCGCACAAACATGCACATATTTTACCTGTATAAAATAATTGCTAACTTACTTAGGTATAACCCTGTATCTGATGACTTTATATTCTTTACTTAAAAAAAAACATATTCTCTAGTACAAAGTTTAGAAAGTAAAGTCAAGTAAATTTGGAAAAAATCATTATGAAAGTACAATGCTCTGATCAACTGTAGGTTGAGGTTGTAAGCATATTAAAGTTCCGTAAAACTTAAAAAAAAATAAAATCAACACAAAAGATGGTACTTACATTTAATCCAAAGTCTCCCTTGTGCTGGTTGTCATAGTTGAAATCCTTTGTCCTTTGCCCTGCTCCCATATCTCGCAGCCATAATCTTCCAATACTGCGGAGATTAATAGAACTGAAGGGCCTGTCATGGGCACTTATCAAGAGTGTTGACTCTGCTCACCCTGTGCTATAGCTTCCAGAAATTAAAAGTGTTCTATGAATGGAGGAGGTGGACCTTTCATTCATCTACCAATCCTCCGTTCATAGATAGCTTTTCATTCATGGAACCTATAGTACAGCTTATTTGAATTAAAGGAAGCAGAAACCGTGTCTGTGACAGGTCCCCCAGTTCTTATTACCTGCTGCAGCACCAGAAGATTATGGCTGTGAGGTATGCCAGAGGACAGTTGATTTCAATTATGGCAACCAGCATAAGGGACACGTCAGATTAAATGTAAGTACTGTCCCATGCGTTGATTTTTTTTTTTTTCAAAAAGGTTTTAACTAAACTTAGGCTTTAAAGTGATTCTAAATGCTGCAATAAAATAAATGTTATACAGTGAAGGAAATAAGTAATTGATCCCCTGCTGATTTTTAATGTTTGCCCACTCACAAAGAAATGATCAGTCTAAAAATCGAATGGTAGGTGTATTGTAACACTGAGAGACAGAATAGCAACAAAAAAATTCAAAAGAAATGCATGTCTTACAAATTATGCACTGATTTGCATGTTCATGAGGGAAATAAGTATTTGATTTCCTATCATTCAGCAGGATTTCTGGCTACCAGGTGTCTTTCATACAGGTAACAAGCTGAGATTAGAATCAGTCTCTTAAAGGGAGTGCTGCTAAATCTAATTTTGTTAACTGTATAAAAGACACCTGTCCACAGGAGCAAATAAACAATCAGATTCCAAACTCTCCACCATGGCAAAGACCAAAGAGCTGTCCAAGGATGTCAGGGACAAGATTGTAGACCTACACAAGGCTGGACTGGGCTACAAACTATCGCCAATCAGCTTGGTGAGAAGATGACAACAGTTGGTGCAATCATTTGCAAATGGAAGAAACACAAAACAACTGTCAGTCTCTCTAGGTCTGGTGCACTATGCAAGATCTCACCTTGTGGAGTGTCAATGATCATGAGAACAGTGAGGAATCATCCCCGAACTACATGTGAGGATCTTGTCAATGATCTTCAGGCAGTTTGGGCCACAGTCACTAAGAAAACAATTGGGAACACAATCCTGCAGAGCCCGCAAGGTCCCTCTGCTCAAGAAAAGCACATGTCCAGGACCGTCTGAAGTTTGCCACTGAACATCTGAATGATGCAGAGGAGGACTGGTTGAAAGTGTTGTGGTCAGATGAGAACAAAATCGAGCTCTTTGGCATCAACTCAACTCGCCAAGTTTGGAGGAAGAGGAATGCTGCCTATGACCCCAAGAACACCATCCCAACTGTCCAACATGGTGGTGGAAACATTCTGCTTTGGGGGGTTTTTTCTGCTAAGGGGGCAGGACAACTGAACCGCATCAAAGAACCTTCTTCCCTCAGCCAGGGCATTGAAAATGGGTTGTGGATGGGTGTTCCAGCATGACAATGACCCAAAACACACGGCCAAGGCAACAAAGGAATGGCTCAAGAAGAAGCACATTAAGGTCCTGGAGTGGCCTAGCCAGTCTTCACACCTTAATCCAATTGAAAATCTGTGGAGAGAGCTGAAAGTTCGAGATGCCAAATGTCAGGCACTAGAGATGAGCGAATCGAAGTAGCCGAAGTGGAATTCGAATCGAATATCAGAAAAATTTCGATTCGCGCCGAATCCGAAAAATAGCCTAATTCGGACGCGCGAATCGAAATTTTTCCGAAAATGGCGGCTGACATGTGCGGCGACGGAGCGGGGATGTCTGGGAAGGCGCGCAGACAAGGCGCGCTGACCCATAATGCATTCCTCAACGACATGTGATCGCATCAGCCAATCAGCAGCCAGCCAGCTAGCACTGTGTAATGGTCGAGCTATAAATAGCGGCCATTTTGGAATTCTTCATTTGCCTGCAGTCATTGAACAGAGGCAGACCGCTCTGTATTAGGGACAGGGACAGAGTTAGGGCCACAGAAACGATACTTGGGGACAGAGAAACGATACTTAGGGACAGAGAACTATTACTCAGGGACACAGAATTGTTAATTAGGGCCACAGAATCGTTACTTAGGGACAAAGAAACGCTAGTTAGGGCCACAGAATTCATACTCAGGGACAGACAGAATTGTTACTGAGTGCCAGAGAATTGTTACTTAGGGCCACAGAAACGTTATTAGGGCCACAGAATTGTTACTCAGGGACAGACAGAATTGTTACTGAGTGCCAGAGAATTGTTACTTAGGGCCACAGAAACGTTATTAGGGCCACAGAATTGTTACTCAGGGACAGACAGAATTGTTACTGAGTGCCAGATAATTGTTACTTAGGGCCACAGAAACGTTATTAGGGCACAGAATTGTTACTCAGGGACAGACAGAATTGTTACTGAGTGCCAGAGAATTGTTACTTAGGGCCACAGAAAACTTTAGTTAGGGCCACAGAATTGTTACTCAGGGACAGACACAGAATTGTTACTGAGGGCCACAGAACTGTTACTTAGGGCCACAGAAACTTGTTACTCGCACAGACACAGAATTGTTACTCGCACAGACACAGAATTGTTACTGAGGGCCACAGAACTGTTACTTAGGGCCACAGAATTGTTACTCGCACAGACACAGAATTGTTACACAGGGACACAGAACTGTTACTGAGGGCCACAGAACCGTTACTTAGGGCCACAGAATTGTTACTCGCACAGACACAGACACAGAATTGTTACTCGCACAGACACAGAATTGTTACTCGCACAGACACAGAATTGTTACTGAGGGCCACAGAACTGTTAGTTAGGGCACCACAGAATTGTTACGCACAGACACAGAATTGTTACTCGAGCCACAGAAACAGACACAGAATTTACTGCAGGGGCCTGAGGGCCACAGAACTGTTTACTTGTTACTTAGGGGCCACAGAAACGTTAATCAGGGACACAGAATTGTTACTGAGGGCCACAGAACTGTTACTTAGGGCCACAGAATTGTTACTCGCACAGACACAGAATTGTTACTCGGGCACAGACACAGAATTGTTACTGAGGGCCACAGAACTGTTACTTAGGGCCACAGAATTGTTACTCGCACAGACACAGAATTGTTACACAGGGACACAGAACTGTTACTGAGGGCCACAGAACCGTTACTTAGGGCCACAGAATTGTTACTCGCACAGGACACAGAATTGTTACTCGCACAGACACAGAATTGTTACTTACTCGCACAGACACAGAATTGTTACTCAGGGACACAGAACTGTTACTGAGGGCCACAGAACTGTTACTTAGGGCCACAGAAATTGTTACTCGCACAGACACAGAATTGTTACTCGCACAGACACAGAATTGTTACTCAGGGACACAGAACTGTTACTTAGGGCCACAGAACTGTTACTTAGGGCCACAGAATTGTTACTCGCACAGACACAGAATTGTTACTCGCACAGACACAGAATTGTTACTGAGGGCCACAGAACTGTTACTTGGGGCCACAGAAACTCGTTAATCAGGGACACAGAATTGTTACTGAGGGCCACAGAACTGTTAGGGCCACAGAATTGTTTACTCGCACAGACACAGAATTGTTACTCGCACAGACACAGAATTGTTACTGAGGGCCACAGAACTGTTACTTGGGGCCACAGAAACGTTAATCAGGGGACACAGAATTGTTACTGAGGGCCACACAGAACTGTTACTTAGGGCCACAGAATTGTTACTTAGGGCCACACAGAATTGTTACTCGCACAGACACAGAATTGTTACTCAGGGACACAGAATTGTGTTACTGTTACTCGCAGGGCCACAGAATTGTTACTCGCAGGGCCACAGAATTGTTACTCCACAGACACTGAATTGTTACTGAGGGCCACAGAACTTTACTCGGGCACAGACACAGAATTGTTACTCAGGGACACAGAATTGTTACTGAGGGCCACAGAAATTGTTACTTAGGGCACACAGAATTGTTACTCGCACAGACACAGAATTGTTACTCAGGGACACAGAACTGTTACTGAGGGCCACAGAACTGTTACTTAGGGCCACAGAATTGTTACTCTTGCACAGACACAGAATTGTTACTCAGGGACACAGAATTGTTACTGAGGGCCACAGAACTGTTACTTAGGGCCACAGAATTGTTTTCACAGAACTCGCACAGACACAGAATTGTTACTGAGGGCCACAGAACTGTTACTTAGGGCCACAGAAACGTGTTAATCAGGGACACAGAATTGTTACTGAGGGACACAGAACTGTTACTTAGGGCCACAGAATTGTTACTCGCACAGACACAGAATTGTTACTCGCACAGACACAGAATTGTTACTGAGGGCCACAGAACTGTTACTTAGGGCCACAGAATTGTTACTCAGGGACAGACACAGAATTGTTACTGACAGACACAGAATTGTTACTGAGGGACCACAGAATTGTTACTTAGCAGGGCCACAGAATTGTTACTCGCACAGGGACACAGAAATTGTTACTCGCACAGGCCACAGAACATTGTTACTTAGGGCCACAGACAACACAGAATTGTTACTCGAGGGCACAGAATTGTTACTCGGGGGCCACAGAAACTGTTACTGAGGGCCACAGAAATGTTACTTAGGGCCACAGAATTGTTACTTCAGCAGGGACCACAGAATTGTTACTTAGGGCCACAGAAGACACAGAATTGTTACTGAGGCCCACAGAACTGTTACTGAGGGCCACAGAAGAATTTACTTACTGAGGGCCACAGAAATTGTTACTCGCACAGACACAGAATTGTTACTCAGGGACACAGAATTGTTACTGAGGGCCACAGAACTGTTACTTAGGGCCACAGAATTGTTACTCAGGGCCACAGAATGTTACTGAGACACAGAATTGTTACTCGCAGACACAGAATTGTTACTGGCAGGGCCACAGAACCGTTACTTAGGGCCACAGAATTGTTACTCAGGGACACAGAATTGTTACTGAGGGCCACAGAACTGTTACTTAGGGCCACAGAATTGTTACTCGCACAGACACAGAATTGTTACTCAGGACACACAGAACTGTTACTGAGGGCCACAGAACAGTACTTAGGGCCACACACAGAATTGTTACTCGCACAGACACAGAATTGTTACTCAGGGACACAGAACTGTTACTGAGGGCCACAGAAAACTGTTACTTAGGGCACAGAATTGTTACTCGCACAGACACAGAATTGTTACTCAGGGACACAGAATTGTTACTGAGGGCCACAGAACTGTTACTTAGGGCCAGAGAATTGGGCCACAGAAATTGTTAATCAGGGACACAGAATTGTTACTGAGGGCCACAGAAACTGTTACTTAGGGCCACAGAATTGTTACTCGCACAGACACAGAATTGTTACTCAGGGACACAGAACTTGTTACTGAGGGCCACAGAAATTGTTACTTAGGGCCACAGAATTGTTACTCGCAGGGACACAGAATTGTTACTACTGAGGGCCACAGAATTGTTACTTAGGGCCACAGAATTGTTACTCGCACAGACACAGAATTGTTACTCGCACAGGGCCACAGAATTGTTACTGAGGGCCACAGAACTGTTACTTAGGGCCACAGAATTGTTACTCGCACAGACAACAGAACTGTTACTGAGGGCCACAGAACTGTTACTGAGGGCCACAGAACTGTTACTTAGGGCCACAGAATTGTTATACTTTAGCACAGCACAACACGAATTGTTACTCAGGGCCCACAGAACTGTTACTTGAGGGCCACAGAAACTGTTAGTTAGGGCCACAGAATTGTTACTCGCACAGACACAGAATTGTTACTCAGGGACACAGAATTGTTACTGAGGGACACAGAACTGTTACTTAGGGCCACAGAATTGTTACTCGGCACAGACACAGAATTGTTACTGAGGGACACAGAATTGTTACTGAGGGCCACAGAACCGTTACTTAGGGCCACAGAATTGTTACTCAGGGACACAGAATTGTTACTGAGGGCCACAGAACTGTTTACTTAGGGGCCACAGAATTGTTACTCGCACAGACACAGAATTGTTATACTGAGGGACACAGAATGTTACTGAGGGCCACAGAATGTTACTTAGGGCCACAGAATTGTTACTCGCTCACACAGACACAGAATTGTTACTCAGGGACACAGAATTGTTACTGAGGGCCACAGAACTGTTACTTAGGGCCACAGAATTGTTACTCGCACAGACACAGAATTGTTACTCAGGGACACAGAATTGTTACTGAGGGCCACAGAATTTGTTACTTAGGGCCACAGAATTGTTACTCAGGGACACAGAATTGTTACTGAGGGCCACAGAACTGTTACAGGGCCACAGAATTGTTACTCGCACAGACACAGAATTGTTACTCAGGGACACAGAATTGTTACTGAGTAGCCACAGAACTGTTACTTAGGGCCACAGAAATTGTTACTCGCACAGGGACACAGAATTGTTACTCAGGGACACAGAACTGTTACTGAGGGCCACAGAACTGTTACTTAGGGCCACAGAATTGTTACTTTTTTTTTAGGCCGCACAGACACAGAATTGTTACTCAGGGACACAGAATTGTTATACTTTCAGTGACACAGAACACAGTTACTTAGGGCACAGAAACTTGTTACAGGGACACAGAATTGTTACTGAGGGCCACAGAACTGTTACTCAGGGCCACAGAAACGTTAATCAGGGACACAGAATTGTTACTGTCAGCCACAGACACCGTTATTAGGGCCAACAGAATTGTTACTCAGGGACAGACACAGAATTGTTAGCTTGCAGGGACACAGAATTGTTTTGAGGGCCACAGAATGTTACTTAGGGGGCCACAGAATTGTTACTCAGGGACAGACAGAATTGTTACTGAGGGCCACTAGAATTGTTACTTAGGGCCACAGAAACGTTAACTCGAGGGCCACAGAATTGTTACTTAGGGCCACAGAATCCGTGTTACTTAGGGCCACAGAATTGTTATCAGGGCCACAGGACACAGAATTGTTACTGAGGGACACAGAATTGTTACTGAGGCCACAGAAACGTTACTTAGAGGCCACAGAAACTCGTTACTTAGGGCCACAGAATTGTTACTCGGGACAGACACAGAAATGTTACTGAGGGACACACAGAATTGTTACTGAGGGGCCACAGAACTTTGTTACTGAGGGCCACAGAATTGTTACTTAGGGCACACAGAATTGTTACTTAGGGACAGACACAGAATTGTTACTGAGGGACACAGAATTGTTACTGAGGGCCACAGAAACGTTACTTAGGGCCACACAGAAAACGTTACTTAGGGCCACAGAATCGTTACTTAGGGCCACAGAAAACGTTACTTAGGGACACAGAATTGTTACTCAGGGACACAGAAAGATTTTGTTACTGAGGGCCACAGAATTGTTACTTAGGGCCACAGAATTGTTACTCGCACAGGACACAGAATTGTTACTGGAGGGACACAGGAATTGTTACTGGGGGCACAGAACGTTACTTAGGGCCCACAGAAACGTTACTTTTGCCACAAGGCCTTACAGAATTGTTACTCTGGGACAGACACAGAATTGTTACACAGGGAACACAGAAATTGTTACCTGAGGGGACCACAGAACCGTTACTCGCAGGGGAACACAGAATTGTTACTCAGGGGACAGACAGAATTGTTACTGAGGGCCACAGAACTGTTACTTAGGGACACATGAATTGTTACTCACACGAGACACAGAATTGTTATCAGGGACACAGAATACTCTGAGGGCACACAGAACTGTTACTCAGGGACAGGACACAGAATTGTTACTTAGGCGGACAGACACAGAATTGTTACACAGGGACACAGAATTGTTACTGACATCAGGCCCACAGATAACTGTTACTATCTCAGGGGCCACAGAAATTGTTATTCAGGGACACATGAATTCGTTACTCAGGGACACAGAATTGTTACGTCAGGCCACAGACACAGACAAGAATGTTACCTGTAGGGACACAGAATTGCTTACTGAGGGCCACAGAATTGTTACTTAGGGCCACAGAATTGTTACTGTAGGTGACACAGAATTGTTACTGGGACTTTCATTAATTTGTTACCGAGGGCCACAGAAACCTGTTACTTAGGGCCACAGAATTGTTATCGCACAGACACAGAATTGTTACTTTTACTCAGGGACACAGTAATTGTTT